GGATTGCATCTGGAACTTCTCAGGGTTACAGTACCATTTAGGCAATAGATTAAATGGGCACAAAGCAAATAAGAACTTGAACAACAGGCCCAGGACAAAGCCACCATACTGTTTACTTGGATAAGGAAACAGACCCTGAATTGTAATGGTGGCAATTCTACAGAACTTGTGTTAATGTTAGTCTCAATGGCTTATGAGTCCCACATTGATATATTTACATAACCAGAGAGCATCAATTCCATAATTGAACCCTGAATTGTAATGGTGGCAATTCTATAGAACTTGTGTTAATGTTAGTCTCAATGGCTTATGAGTCCCACATTGATATATTTACATAACCAGAGAGCATCAATTCCATAATTGACTTGGATCATCCACATATGCATATAGTTGACAAGGTTTAATAAATCAGGACAGAATGCTGTTATAGGTCCTATCAACTTCTTTGACTGCTCTGGAGAAATGAGTATCTTAACTCTCAGTATGCTGCCCTGGAATGTGTGATCTTTTAAAGACTCAGCAGGAGGATGGAGCAGTTAGAGAACAGATCAGAACTTTGTATGCTTGCTTTAAATAAAATTAGTGTGAACAAATGGTTTCTATGTATATGTACACATCAGCTGCATGCTATACAGTTAACATGGATGTGTTTTGACACTTGGATTTACAAAAAACAAACAAACTACTTTCCTCTACTTCCTAGTTCATTCAAGACAACAGTATATCATTTAATAACAGCTGAATGTCCTAAGTACTTGTATGATTTTCTGAATGATGCATTTACCTAAAAGGAAGACAACCCTGGATTTAAGATGATCTCCATAAAGGAAGATTAGATAGAATTATAATAAACTGAAACAAAAATCCAGTATATTGCCCAGCTTCCTTACCTTGGCAATCGGACATCCAGAATCCCACTGAAACCAATCCTGAAGATCATTTCCTCCACCCCCCAATGCACGTGACATACCAATATATGCATTTGTGTCTGTATACACATATGTAAGTATATATCCTGACTTGCAGAGGCCACATTCCAAAAAAGGGCAGGGCCAAGACAATAACATAACATTAATTGAATTAATACCTGATTAAAGTTAATTGCTTGTAAAATAAGATACCCATTATAAAATGAATTATTTTCACATTTGCATATAAACACAGACTACTCTCTCTTTCCCTCTCACATACATGCATATGCATGCTCACAGTCAGAATGAGATTATGGAAATCTGAGCTCAACAAGCATAAACTTGTACATGTGTAGTCTGCAGGAAGTCACATTAAGTTTACTTTCTACTGAGGTAGGTATAGGGAAGCTTCTGTTGTGCTGGTAAAGGATCTGTTCTGCCCTGATTACTATGCATAAATCAGGGTGAAAACTGGGAAGAGATTCTTGAGGCACTGATTTTTGTTTGTTTGTTTCTGTGCAACAAGGAAACAAATTAATAGATCCTGTGCGTTGGATTGCAGATGGAACCATATGCTTGGTTACTCTGTGGTAAGTCTTGCTGAATTCAGTTGCTCTTCCTCCCAGGTGATCATGCTTAGGACTTGGACTTTTCTTCAGGCAGCTTCTAAGCCCTGTAAATCCTCTATATGAGGAAGATGACAAGAAGTAGGCAGGGCTAGTATGCTTGTCTCCTTTCTCTTCCTCCCCAACACCATGCCTTTATGTAGGCAATCAAAGGTGTTACATGACACCTTTATGCAGCCTCTTTGCATCTCTCACCTTCTTGCTTATTTTCAAGGTCTTCTTCTACTCTCGTTTTCTCAGCAAATGTAAAAGGACCTCCTGGATTCACAGATAATTGTGGGGAGGGGAGGAATTAATTTTCATTCATTTAAATACCATAATACCAAAATAGCCTAATTTAGAGGTTGGGTTTTTGTTTTTGTTTTTGGGTTTTTGGGTGCCTTCGAGTCAGTGTTGACTCCTGGTGACTTCCTGAAGAAATCCTTGCAGTTTTCTTGGCAAGATTTCAGAAGTGGGCGGCCATTGCTTTCTTCCTAGGGCTGAGAGAGAGTGATTGGCCCAACGTCACCCAGTTGGCTTTGTGCCGAAGATGGGACTAGAACTCACAGACTCCCAGTTTCTAGCCTGATGTCTTAACCACCACATCAAACTGACTCTTAGAATTAGGCACCCCTATTTGTCAATAAAAACAAACAAACAAAAAACACCACCACTACAAGTAATGTCTTCCATTTTGCCAACTAGACATTTTCTTTCCAACTGTGATTTCCTTTTATTTCACATGAAGAGGGGTGAAGGAGCTCCAGACATAACTTGAGATCTGAATGTCTGAACTAGATCTGTACATCTCAGCCAGTAAATGTATTTTAATAAAGATCAACTGATAAAAGGTGTGCCCACTGGAACATTTTGCCACCAAGATTATTGCTAACCTATCAGGGGAAACTAAACTTTCTGTTGTAACAGGTCTGATAGGTAATAATCCGTTATGACTAAATAAACTCTAGGTGAGCATTATTATTTTGCATGGTTCTATAGTATTCCCCTAAAGTTCCAAAGCTTCTTCTGTTCCCAAAATAGAGGTTTGATCTGTTGAAGAATTGCTACAAAAATTTGCAGAATATGCGTTGCACTGGTTATATGACTCTCTGCTGGAAACCAAATCATCTCTTCATTGGCCCATACAGACTGCAGTATCTTCCTGTTTATTCAATCTGCTATTTTCTTCTTGAATTTGTTTCCTTAACTGAGGATGAATTGGAAAATTCACATGCATGCCAGCACTTGCTAAAGCTGTCAACTGTAGTGATTGTCACATTTCAATCACAGTTGAAGCCAGCCAGCCAGCTACTTTTTACAGCACAAGGCCTTATATTTTTGAGGACCAGAATTAATGAATTAACTATTGATTAAATTCCACTCTAGCAAATCCACCGTGGCAAATAAATGAACTACCTGGGGCATATGTAGGCCACAGCCAGACATGTCCGGGCAATCGATCAGTAGTTAGTATTCTCTGGGGATATAAGAACAGCTGATGATAATATGACATGTAAGGGGAGGCAATGAAAAAAGTCCCAATGTGGCTGGGGGAAACCATTGTCAGCTGGGGAAAACATGGGTTCTAAAATTTAGTTCTTATCAAACAAGCTTTGCAATGATGTTTTCCACAGGCAAATACAAAAAAATGAAATAAAATAAAGAGCCGAAGCTTCCTTAGAAGACTGCAGAAGTAAATATATCCTGCGGGCATATTTCTGAAGATTTAGATGTTAAACTGGTGGTTATTTAAAAAACCACATTTCTCTTTCTTGCAAGAAGCAGACTAAGTGCCAGTCTCTGCCAGTAGTGTAATAAAATCCTATTAACAATAATATACACACGGGGGACTTACTATTGTTGCCATAATTTTGATACATCCTTGGCAATGGATGTATAATCTCTATTGGAAATTTTGGCACTTGTGGAGCTTTTTAGGAAAAGAATGATTGCATTTGTCATTATGAAAAAAATTCCCATAATAAGGGAAAGATGAAGAAAAGAATATATAACCAATCTCTTACAGTATGTGCATATACATAAACAATTTAATTTCCTTTTTACATATTGCCTTTCTAATATTGTGGATAATTATTCTAGACTTTAATGCCCAATTCTGATCAGTTTCACATTTGAAAAAAATAATAATGGATACCTGGATGTATAAACTCATGAGCCCCTCTCACTCAATATTTGCAACGAACTCAGAGAAACTGCTTCATGATAGAATTAAATCAAGAAGAATTTGCACAGAACTGTTTCACATCCACATGTTTCTCAATCTGTCACTATAAATATGGTTTTGGGAATCCTTCCCATATTCACCAGTAATACAGAAGAATGCCTGTATGAACTGTCAGCCAAGAGAACTACTACTACTACATTAAGTGACGAGATCTCCATCACTGGAAACCTTCAAACAAAGCCTGAATTGTCCTCTATCAGAGATGCTCTAGTGGATCCTGAATTGAACAGGGATTTAAAGTCCCTTCTAAATCCATGATGCCAAGAAAACTACATAGATATGTCCATTTAAGTCATCAGGAGTCAAACACAACTTGAAATAGACTTTATCTTTACTGGAAGACTGAATATGTAGGTAGATAGATAGTGTGTATGTGTATACATATATATGACTCTCTCCCTGCTCTGTTTAACATCTACATGAGGCCATTGTGTGAGGCCATGTGACAGTGCAGGTTTAGATATCAGTACACTGATGATGGGTAATTGTACATCTCTATTCTAGGCTGGCAGAAGAATGGTAGAGCATCCATGTAGTATGTAGGCAATTTCAGGATGGGTCTCTTTGCAGACCAGGGAAATAAAGAACTAGACAGAGACCCAGAAGACAGCTGCCACATATTGGATTAAAACAAAGACTGGTGTGAAAGACAAGATGGAAGTATGTGTGTATGTGTATGTGTGTGGGTATGTATGTATGTATGCATGTGTGTGTATGTATATGTGTGTGTGTATGTATGTATGTATGCATGTGTGTGTATGTATATATGTGTATGTGTGTATGTATGCATGTGTATGTGTGTGTATGTGTGTATGTGTATGTATATGTGTGTGTGTATGTATATGTGTGTGTGTGTGTATGTATGCATGTGTATGTGTGTGTGTATGTGTGTATGTGTATGTATATGTGTGTGTGTATGTATATGTGTGTGTGTGTGTGTATGTATGCATGTGTATGTGTGTGTGTATGTGTGTATGTGTATGTATATGTGTGTGTGTGTATGTATATGTGTGTGTGTGTATGTGTGTGTGTGTGTGTGTGTGTGTGTGTGTGTGTGTGTGTGTGTGGAGTCCTTGGTTGATTGCTTGCAGACAGAGAGCACCAAGGACCCCACAGTTCAACCCTAAGCTACATATATTCTCTTCTAATATATCTACTATCTCTATCTCTATATTTTCTATAACCACCACTGATTCTTATGGCTTAAGGTGGAAAACAAGGACAAGTACATTTTAATACCTGGAACCAAGGACAGAGATCCACGGTGGCAATAACTCTTTAGGCTCATCTTCTGCAGTTGTAATTTGGGTTCCATTACTTCTCACACAAACATTCCTTGTACAGGATTCAACCTAGAATAACAAGCATCGACATGGGTTCTTTTCCTCATTCAAAAATTGAGATCAAAGTAGTAGCAAAGCTGAATTTAGTATAATGGTAAGAAGGGCAAACATTTTGAATGGGGAGGGGGGAACTGCTGCTGTTATTATTTACATTCACAGAATTTTAAAAATATCTTTTCATTTAATAGTATTAAACAATAAAGGTACTAAATGCAATAAAATGGACTAAAACCAATAAAACCAGGAAAATGGATAAAACCTGTACATTAAAAATAAATCAGCAATGTTAGGGTAGCTGATGGAATTATAGGAACATCTGGGAATAAATACATTTCTGATTTTCAACAAAAGCACCTCACAGCAGGAGACCATGCTAATGAATTTTTTTCCCACAAAATGGGCATAATTTCAAGGAATACCTGCTTATGCATTACACTTGAGTAAGTGCCAGTGAGCTATAGTTTAATCAGTTGGCCATCTCCCCCCAGCAGCAAAATTGAATAGGCCTATATAAAACCAGGCACCAGATAATCTGGGGTAGAGCTCTTTGGTGCTCTATAAATTAGCAGGTTCAAATCATCGAAAAAGTACAGGATTTCTTTAGCCAAGTTATCCCACTGTTAAGCTTGTATTGATAAAAGAATGGTAGAGTTAATCATAGAACTGGCCAGAAACCCTTTAAATTGTTCTAACCCATCTTAAATATATTGAGCGTGATCCAAGTATTCCTCCTCTCTTCACATGCACAGGGGCTTTCCATTCATTTCAATAAGGGGAATTTATCCTCCTCTTAAAGCTTGCCTTCTGCAAACATGGTACATTATCAACTCATCCAAGCTAAGGATATGTATTTTGAATATGAGTTACAAAACTGATAGTAACAGACTTACAGTAATAAGTTTGGGACTGGGACTGTCAGAATGTTACAAGTTCACCTTTGTTAATCTACAAGGTTTCTTCTTTTTTTCTTTTTTAAAAATAGAAATAATGAACTTTTGTAGCAACATATTAATGTTTGATGAACTCTGAAGATGAAAGTCAAAATATGACTCCCTGAGTTTTTAGTTCTTTAAATAGCTCCAAAGGAAGACTAATAATGTCACCTTTGCATCAACCACAAAGAGGTCATTCAGTACACTTGGGTATGAATTGACAGATGTCTACACATGACATCAACAATCAAGACAGACACACATTTACTTATAACTTTAGAAAGCTGAAGATTTGATAGGGAATGTAATATGAAAGGCCAAAAAAGGGCGGGGGGGGGGAAGCAAATTAAATCTTTGTATTTTACCTGATATTTCAGCGCCACAAACATTGGCACTAATCCTGAAATATGAGAAGCTAAAAAACAAAGCTGATTAATATGTAAGGCATCAATAATAAATACAGAGGCCTGAGAAGTAGAAAAGGCTTGGAATCTGTATTATTGTTGGAGAAAGACAAATAGGTGTCCATATGGAAACTAGAAAGTTATCTGTGTATTCATAGGAGGTGGGGGCTTGCTAGTATAGAGGAGCTGGACGGTAGAAATCCATTAGGGTGTGCCTTTGCATGACGTTTATTTATTGCATGTTGCAACTGGATGCAAATCGTAGGACACAGTATACATGATTACTGTTACAGTGTCCCCATACATCATTCAAAGTAAGCCAGCATCTGAGTGATACAAACAAAATGGGAATGTTGCAATTAAAACAGCATTTCGAACAAATGAAAGCAAACCCATTATAGAAAAATATTTATATGCCTTATCTTCAGAAATATTCATAAAACCTGCAACATTTTGAGAAAGCCTAAAGAGAAGGAAAATGAGAAAAAACAAAGGGTTTAAATATTAATTGTATTTTTAAAAGACTGGGATTTCTTGGTTAAGATCGTCCTATTCCAGAGAAGAAGTGGAGGAAGGGAAAAATGATAAAAGGCTACCAATGCAATATCATTATTTCTCATGGTTCATGTTTTATGCATGCCTGATGTTTCTAAAACAATTGCTATTTTGTTTTAATCAGTAGGAGTAGGATCTCTGTAATATATATAGGTTCAGCATCACAGGAGGAGAGGAAATTTAACCCTGATAGTTTTAAAAGGGAGACTATGTATCTGTGCATACACATGTATTTGTATATGTGTTTACATAGTCCTTCTAATGTATATATTTTTACTCACTGCTGTTCAATAAATGCATTTTGTAGCTTTATCAGTAGACTTTTGTGCATAATTTCCCCAGATAGACACGTTATCTCTATTAATTTTTCATTGGTGCATCGTATCTTATAATTCAGAAAAATAGAATATTGATGTATGACTGCATTTTCCTTTCTGATTCAGGAAACAGAAATTAACCACATTTTCCTTACAACAGAAATAAAACAAATTTGTTCCACATTCATAGAACTTTAGAGTTTCATGTATCAATGTATTTGCATGTATTCATAATACCGTTCCGTCTATTTTTAGCATTAAACTATTATCTTTTAATTTTTTAGCAGCATTTTAAATTTATTTTCTGCCAAAAATTCTGATTCTGATTGTTAAAGATACCTCATCCAAAAATACCCATATAAAATAACATCCAAGTTTATTTTTTCAAGCTGCAAGCTAAAGTGCAAAATCTTCGAAAACATTCATAATTTGCAAAAACTCAATTATTAGCACGGTAGAAGATGTACATTTATAGATGCATGATATTACACCTATAGAATAAGCAATATTAATCTACTATATTTGCATTTTTACATATTCGTAATTATTTCATGAACTATCAAGGTTTCATATATCACACATACATACATATGCCATTTACATGACTGTATGCAAAATGCTATACAGATTGTGTTAATATCTGTACATCTACAGATGCACTGAAATTAAACTGCACACAGTGAGAAAAAAGAAATATTCCAACCTGGATGTCATAAATTGTGAATGGAGTCAAATCTCCTAAAGTGAAAGATCCAGGTGCCTTCATTCCGGTCTCATATCGGTTATTATTTACATAAATGGAATACTCTGTGACAACGCCATTTGAGTTTGAAGGCCCTGTCCAAATGACACATACAGCTGTACTGTTGATGGTGACAACCTCTGGAGGGAACATGCCCTCTGGCTCTAGAAATAAAGGAGGAAATGGAATAAACTCCAGCTGTCACTGTAAAAGCACTTGTTTAACCATATACAGATTAGAATTTAGGTTTAGGAACTAGGTCTGCTAGTTATCTGCTAGTTTGTTATGAAGTTTGCACAGTCTGTCCTTGTTCTCTGAACTGACTTCTTATAATCTCAGAAATGGTGGAAAAGGGGATGGTAAAACACTTTATATCTCCAACCTTGCCTTATTCTTTACTAAAAATGTGACTAGGCGAATATGATTATTTATTTAACTGTGTGACCTCATCCACAATTATTTAGTATAGTCTCATGTTTCAATCTCCCCTCCCCCCCCCGCAAGTTAGCTTCTAAGGGTGACATCTCCCCATAGCTTTTATTAGCATCATAACGTGAGCAATGTGAAGCAATGAGTATTAAATTATTATGTAAATGCTTTTGTTGATTACCACAGATAATGATGAAGCCTTACCTTTTTCTTTTTCAAAAAATAACCTCCATCTTTCTTAGCATTAAATTACACAGATTATTTAAGCATGTCATAAATAGCTATGCAAAGGAACTATTTTTATCTGGGTAAGTCCATCTTTAACCAGTTGAAAAATTGTACTTCCAATGGGTTCTATTTTATAAATAAAAAAGGGGATGAACTTTGGCTTTGCCAAGGAAATGCAATCCTGACTTAAAGTACTTTGCTAATGACCTGGAACACTTGCTTCTGGGGTAATGATATTATAATGTTTATAATGAGATTTTATAAAGCCAAAAAGATTAGAAAGGCCATTCCAAAAGCATTTGAGATTCACAAGTTGCTTTCCCCCCCTCCTTTCCCTTCCCTCCCTCCAGCTTGCCAACTGGCTTGGAAATATGTCAGGGAAACTGTCTAAGAGGCTGGATTTACACCTTCCATTCCTGGTCAAACAATTGACTGTCATGTCACAAGCAGCCTGCTTCATAGCATTGTTTTTTTAAAAAAAAAATTCTATTTATTGGCCTAAACATAGCTCTGAATTGCAGACAAGATAAAAAGTAGGTTAATATTCTCCATTAAAGCACTATGTTCCTACCACAGTGGGATCTTTTATTGACTGACCCCTTGATGACAACTAGCATTTGAGTATTGTAGCATTTCAGTCCTTTCCCTTTTGATAATGGAACAATGACTGATTTCAACCCACATAAAAATCAGTTAATTAATTTTCAGATTTTAAGCTGAAACCAATAGTCAACCTACCTCCATCTGGTGTCGTCACGTGCACTGGTTCACTTGCGATGCTGTGAAGCCCACTGAAAACTTGAAGCCAAATTTGGTACTCTGTGTTTGGATACAGTTCACCAATAACAGCACTGTTTTCACTTGCGGGGATCTTTCTGGAGTTTATTTGGGCAGTGCCATTCCAGGAAAGGAAGTAATATTCAACACTCTCCTGTATATCCTGTAAGGCTGTTTAATGAATAAAAACAAAAATCTGACAGTGAAAATGAATGGAGAAATAATAATCCCACAGGTCCTGGCACTAAGATGACTCCAAATATTTTAGAAACTGCAAAGTTATATGTAAAGGGTCCAGTTCAAAGATGTTCACTAAGCGATAAACTCTGCAGTGATGATCTAAATATTCTATAGGGGATATCGCTTTGCAGGTAAATTTTGTTGTTCAGTCCCTTCTGACTCTTCCTAAAATGATGGATCAACAGGATTGCCTGTTGATAACTTCTTCTTTGAGCTCTTGTAAGCTCATGATTGTATCATCAGGAATCTCATCATCTTTTCTTCTATCAGCCTCTTTTCTATTGCCTTTGATTTTCTAGGGTCTTCTCCAATGAGTCTTGCCTTTGCATTATGTGTCCAAAATATTTAAAATTTAGCTTCATTATTAGTACTTCCAGTGAGCATTTTTGCTTTCCTCCCTTTAATATTGAATGATTTATTCTTCTTGCAGTCCAAGGTATTTTCAATCATTTTCTCCAACATCATATTTTAAAGGCATCAATTTAAATAGAGTGGTACAAAATCTACCCCAGAGATAAGGGCATGAGGAAAAATGCAAGGTTGTTTTTTCCTCCTTACAATAATAAAAGAAACAAAAATATTTTAAAAAATAAAGACAGTACCCCAAAAGTATTCTTCCTGAGTCCAGAAGAATGTCCCTGGAAGCTACGTTATATATTCAGGCAGCCTTGTTTCCGGGGCCAATATGTGGGGGGAATTTTTTTTTTTTTTTGGCATATCCTTTACTAAACCTAAATCTCAGTGCCTCAGAAATCAAGTACCACTAGATACCCATATAATGGTTGTTAATGTTTGTATGAAACACATTGGAAGCATGGAGAATAAAATACCTGTTTCATGCTGAATGTTGATGCCCAGATGACTATTAGGGACTGTCTTGAGTGCCAGATTCAAGAATCAAGCCCTGGGAACATGTATGCATCATCTCTTTGGGTGCACTGTTCTGAGCTTAGCAGAAAATGAATATGACTACACTGGGGCAAAGAACCTCAGCTGGTCTTGAAAGCTAAGCAGTGCTGGGCCTTAGGTAGAAAATCACTAGGAATCCTAGGGCTGTAGGCTAAACTGAGATGTTGGAAAACAGTCTGGCTAGTACTTGTAAGGGAACAATTAGGGAATTGCAGTTTGATAGGCTAGCCATTAGACTGAGAAGCTGGAAAGAATTCTGGAAGAAAGCAATGGCAAACCACTTCAATGTGGTTGTCAGGAGAGCTGCATGTTATGTTCATGTTCATGTAATCACCAAGAATCAAGCCTGATTTGAGAGCATCGTTATCTTCTTTGTGTGAGGGTATCTAGGTGTGAATAGGAGGAATGAATATCTTAAACACATACAATTTCTATGCTCACCAGCATATTATAAGACAGTGTTGTCCCAACAATGCCACCCTATAAAATAGGGGGGTTTTACTCCCACACTTCCTCCACCCCCCACTCGCGTTGTGGGGG